TTCCTTCCTCCTTCCTAGCGCGCTGCCCCCAAAAGCCTGCAGCCTGGAGCAGAGAGAGAGTCGGAGAGAAGCACCAGCCACCTGCCTGTCCCTTCCAGGTCAGGGGGGAAGAAAGATACTTTGGAAGTGGGAGAAACCCAGTGAGCTAGAAGAGACTCTTTCCTTCCTTGCTCCATCGCTCATGGCAACCGTTCAGCTCTATAGAGTGATACCTGTTCTCTGAGCTGTGGAAATCCCATTGCTCGTCTCCAGGGCCAGTCCAGCATCCGCAAATACCCCCAGATTGTTCTTTCCACTGCCAGCCGTACAGCCAATGTCACTCTTCTCCATGGAGTCCCAGATCTGTGAGGTGAAAATACAATGGTTGAGAGATTATTGTTAACAATGGTACCTCCCATTTATACGGTGCCATCCAGCATAATCCCAAAGCATTATACAGGCTGTGAGCCAGACTCCGGTTTCAGGTACAACTGTGCAATCTGCAGTAACTCCATTGACTTCCTTTGACTAGCTCTGTGTTTGTAGCAGTGTAAATGAAAGCAAAATCTAAGACGTAAGTAAAGGATTTATTGCAACTCAATCCCCACTGAAATGCGTCCACCTCTGGGATGGAGCACAACAGCCATTCTGCACCAGCAACACAACCGATTTTAGGAGAAAGAAAGAATTATGCAGCCAGTCTTCGCTTTGGGGCGTAGAGCAAGGGTAAGAGCCGAGCTGCATTTCCCACTATAAAACATCACAAGTTACAACCAACATCTTTCATGCCCCACCTTAGATTGTGTAATTTTGTGTTTTTTGTTCAGAACGTAGACTCCTTTGTCCACGGCCACCAGGCTGACATAAGCTCTGTGGTCTCCTTCCAGTTTGAGTTTCATTGGAGTTCCCGGCTCATGGGTTCCCCTGTCTTCGTTGCTGGCTCCTTTCACCACTAGCTGTATGAAAGAGAGTGAAGGGAGAGGTTTTGTTTTAAAGCAGAGGGAGCAGCTAAGAACCCTCCTTTGCAAAACATAGGAGAAAAGGACGTAAGATCTCATGTTCCTCGAGCATCCAAAAGCCTAATTCTCATCTCAAGGGCAGCTGTGTAAAGCTGCAGTAGCTCCACTGACTTCAGTGCTGTTACTCCATATTCATGCTGGTATAAACTGAGAGCAGAATCGGACCCAATGTCCATGAGGTCTCATTGTTCTGGCCATGATGAAAAGGTGACTTTGTCTCTCAGGCAGCCCTGGGAAATCTACAAACAAGGTTGAACTGTAATGGATCTCCTCCGTGGGCCCAATTCTGATCTCAGGGCTTGTCTATACTTACGCGCTGGTTCGGCGGCAGGCAATCGAACTTCTGGGTTCGATTTATCGCGTCTTGTCTGGACGCGATAAATCGAACCCAGAAGTGCTCGCCGTCAACTCCGGTAATCCTGCTCGGCGCGAGGAGTATGCGGAGTCAACGGGGGACCCTGCCTGCCGCGTCTGGACCGCGGTAAGTTCGAACTAAGGTACGTCGACTTCAGCTACGTTATTCACATAGCTGAAGTTGCGTACCTTAGTTCGAATTGGGGGGTTAGTGTAGACCAGGCCTCACACTGTTGTAAATCAGGAGCAATTAACTGGAGTTACAGCAGCTCAGCATTGTAGTTACATCACAGTCAGGTCCCCTATAGGCATTTGGAGTCACATCTGCTGAATGTATGGGCCAAAAATAAGCATCTTACTGCTGTTAGCCCCGAAGAGCCAGCCCAGCCCTGGGAGAGGGAGCTGGAATCAACTCTGACTTTCCACATTATCAGCAAAATGGCTAATTATGGTGCAGCTACAAAGCCAGATACTCAGTTGGCGCAAGTCAGTAGAGCTCAATCCACTTTAATCCACAATCCACAGAGTCTTTATTGCTGAGCTAGAAGGAACCACAGCTTGACTCCCGGATCCTAGGGTGGGTTGACAGCATTGGCTTCTGGGGACTGGGGAACATCTTTGTATGTGTAAACCAATCAAAACTAATCCAGAATTTGCTGGGAGACAATCAATGAGAAGCCCCCGGTGCCATTTTTAGAGACCCTTTTGAGGGTCAGTCGGCACTTTCAGGCTAGGAAAAACTCCTTCGTAATGACAACTTCATAGGAATTAACATGTAGAAGGCCAACTTGAATATCAACCTACCATTCCCATGCAAGTGTCCTGGATGTCCAGCCAGACCGAGTCTGCTACAATCTCCGAATTTCCTACTTGGTAGTAAGCCACGATGCGGAATGAAGGGATGAGGTCTGGAGTGATGGGCAGGGACATGGTCACCAGATTTTGTCCTACCTGCCTGGCCTGTCTCCCTACACGAATGATCTTCCCTTTATTCAGGATCTAACAGGGAAACATGAGACGTAGATTGTTAAAGGCCACAAGAGTTAACACAATGGGTGATTCAGATTCCATAAATCTTCCCATCCACCTGTGTTGCAGGAATAGGCTCTCGATGTGGTGGTGCTAATATTTACTAAATCTGATTCCCAAATCTGAATATTGTTTATGTTTCACCAACGGAGACTACCCCTCCTTTCCCCCATCCCACTCACCAAATATACTTCATATCCGCGTTATATGGCAACTTTATTATTTGATTGTCCAGCTCTAAAAATAACAGAGTTGACCTACTACTCTGCATTGAAAAAGTAGCAGTGAAATCTAGTGTTTAGAGCAGGGAACTGAGACCTGGGACTCCTGGGTTCCATCCCCAGCTCTAAGAGAAAATATGCTCTAGTGAGTGCACGGGAGGAGTCAGGACTCCTGGGTCCATCCGCAGCTCGAAGAGGAAGTGTAGTTTAGTAGCGAGTGCAGAGGGATGGTTGTTAGGACTCCTGGGTTCTTTCTCCAGCTCCTGGAGGAAGTGGGCTCTCACAGGGCTCGGATTCAGTAATCAGAAGTGGATAAGGGGTCATCCCCATGACTGACTTTATTTCATTCACACTGTGACAGGGTGCTGGGCAAAGGGTTGCAGCTTCAGCCCTCTGTCACACCTGCTTCTCGCTGGGGAACAAATTAGAGCGGGCTGGAGGTAACCTGGCCCTAATTGGAGAGGCAGAGACAGCTGCTACCTAATTAGACTGTGGCTGCATAAAAGTCTCAGGGGAAGGAAGCCAGGGGAGAGCAGGAGAAAAGGAAAAAGGCAGGGAATGAAAGCAGGGAGGTAGCTCCCCCTCCCTCCCTCCTGCCTGCAGACAGTGAGCGTTACTTGTTCATGGTGAAACAGTGGTGGGAACAAGCCGGAGAATAAAGTGCACCAGTGCACCGTGGTTACTATACCCGGGGTCTCAGAGTGACTTTGTGAACCTAGCAGAGGCAGAAGCCAAGGGGGCCCTGCCGCACTCTGCTACACACACAATGAATATACTGCCTGATGGGAAGAATTCTCTGCTACAGGTTCTCCTTACATGCAGTGGGAATATTAAAGGATATGTGGAAACTCAGATGATGCCTAAGTTCCAGGAGATCCCAGTACCCAGGGACGCAGCACTTACTATGTAAGTGAAATACTTGATTTGGTTCAGAACAGCTGGATTGTTGCTCTTCAGGTGGAAATTCACAGCTAAGTTGTCTCCAGGTTTGAGCTCAGAAGCCGTCACTGCCAGATGGAGATAGTTTTGAGACCCTCTTTGGGACTGATAGGCTTCAGCCACCATGGACTTAGAGGCTTGGCGGTTTGCTGGGAGGTTGGGATGGGCAGTTTTTACCTGCAGGGGAGGTGGAGATAAAATCTTAGTTGAATCTGGGAGTGAGCTTAGGGTCTATAGCCCCTCACGCTGGGTCACACTATGAGCAATAGCAAAGGAAGCTTCCCTGCGACGCCATTGTTGGTGGATTCTGCTGTTAACAGCCATTCTAGGCATGACACCTCAGAGAAACGCCAAGTGCCACTTTTAACTGGCCCATGACTTCAGCACAATCCTGCTGGGACTCCAGATTTCTGGACTGTCAGAGAACATGTCCCTGAACAGAGGAGACTGCCTTGCCCCTTGCAGGAGGGGTGAGATGAATATAAAGAGGGACTCTCTTCTGAAGCGGCCGGACACAGATAGATCCAGTGTTCTCTCGGGCTTTGTAGCTTGAGCCTGGTGTCACCTCAAAGGTCTTCACACTAAGCAGCCATGCGCTGTCTACAGGCTCCTTTGCTGCATGGTGGGTACCTTCAGTGTGGCAAGGGGACTGATCTGGACCCGCTTATGCCCATATCAATGTTTTCTAGGATTTCTTCTGGCCCCACGATAGAGCATTGGTTACATGGTGATCGAAGCATCTCCAAGATCAAATGACATACATGAAACTGACCCCAGGTGCAGTGGAATGCACAGAGTTCAGTTATCCTCCTGCTTAGTGCATGAGAGGGGAGTGAATGCCTCCAACAGGGCATTGCCCTCGGGGTGCATATAGTACTTAGCCCAGCCTCAGTGTTTGAAGGTTACTCACCGTGATGGGAACCTGCTGCTTATCCCCGGGCATGTTTATTATCAGCTTGGCAGTTCCATCTCCCTGGGTCGACCCAGCCGACTGGAATCCTTCAGCCTGTACTGGGACACGGGGGGCTGGGGAGCCATCGGGGTTTGTGACGTAGACCTGAGGGGCACGATCAAAAAGGGATGCATCGAATAAGGGGTGCAGCGCTCCCTGCATCCTAACTTCAAATCAGATTGCATGTACAGCATCTCAGGTCCATAGCCTCAAAGGTATTTAGGTGCCTAACTTCAATGGGAATTAGGCACCTAAATAACTTTGAGGTTACAAATATCTTCAACTCTGAGTTTAATTAAAGTTTTCACACTCTGACTTAGGGGATGTCTAGGCTGCAGTTGTATGCACGCCATGCCTGCTGGCTGTGGAGCTTTGTGCTCCTCTAGTTGCACCTAGATCACTTAGAGATTAATGAGTCTACAACAACCTGAACTAAGTGCCATGTGGCTTTTAGCTCATGCAGTACCATCTCATGCATTTCGCTCTGGAGATCCCATGTTCGATCCCGCCCGCCGACAGACCCTGGTTGTTGGCATTACCCAGTCACAGGGTGTGAACGCAGCTTGAGCTGACGTACCCACACTAGCTTTAATCTCACTAGCCTGGGTCCTGGAACGGTGAAGCCAAAGCAGTGTGAGCATCAGCGCGGGCTAGACCCGTGAGTAATTATCCAGGGTCCAGGGTGCGCTTGTATAGCTAGCGCTGCCGCAGTTTCACTGTTCCTGGACCCAAGCTAGGTGATGGAAGCTAGTTCAGTGATGTCAGCTAGAGCTCCAATCGCACCTCGTGACTGCAGTCTAGACGTACCCTTTGAGTGCTGACTAGACCTAGTTCTGAAAACCCTCAAGACTGCAGAGATCAATGGCCTTACAAAAGCCACGGACGTTTTAAAGTTTTAAACCTATTACGCTAGTGCTCCGAAAAGAACCTTGGTAGCCGACATAAAATCATTCGTACTCTGAAACCAACACTTACATATTGGGCTTTGGCTGAAATAGAACATTCACCCACCTCTGTCCTATGTAAATCAACTGGGGTTTAGTTAAGAAGGTCAAGCATTCGCCTCATGAATGTAGTTTGCACTACCTCTAACGACCTAAGGAGAGGCACCAATTCTGTGGATGCTCCGAGGCTGGAGCACCCATGAGGAAAAAAATAGTGGGTGCTCAGCACCCACCAGCATGCCTCACCAATCAGTGCCTCCCCCTCCCTCCCAGTGCCTCCTGCCCACAGAGGATCAGTTCAGCAGTGGGCAGGAGGTGCTGGAGGGGCAGAGGGAGGAGCAGGGAGGGCAGAGCGGGGGAGGGAAGATGTGGGCTGGGGCCTTGGGGGAAGGAGTGGAGTGGGGGTGGGGACTGGGACGGAACGGGGGTCAAGCACCCCTCGGGAAATCAGAAAGTCAGCACCTCTGACCTAAGATCTTTCCAGCCCCAAACTTCCGCATGGTATAAAATTTGAGCACCCAGGTTAGCCCTAAGCATTCAGAGAGCCGGTGCAATTAAATTACCCCCAGGCACACAAGAAAAACAGACAGCTACTTGCATGGAGCTTATGGTTCAGCCCTTTGACTCCTTTTTATGTTTATCCCATTCACCACTGTACCTAAAGCAAGTATCCAGATAAGAAATGGACTTAACTTGCTCATTACTGTGGTCATTAATTACTCGTTTATGCACCTTTGGTCTGCAGCCAAAGATAATTGCTTC